TCTACCACTTAGAGGCACATGTACAGATTGCACTGGGTGGGTTAAAATAAATATGTTCCTCTCCAACAACAAACAGGACAAAGATGTTATTTATTTTTAGAACGTTTACAAAAAAAATGGCTTTGTCTGAAGAATAGCGAGTGAGTCATTATCTGTCTCTTAAAACGTTATAGATATGCTATAGATCTTTGTAGGTTGGCTTCATCCATGTTCATCTTTCCGTAACCTGGAGGAATTAACTAGGGATGCAGAAATGGTTCTGGAGGCAGGTGGAAAGATGTGACCACAGCCAAAAGTCACAGAGAGGAAAAAAAAGCACAGCTTTCACTCAAACAAGAAGCCAAAGGACAGCAACTAAGAAATCACGACCATACCAAGCACCAGTCTCAGCTTAATCATCACTACAATTGCATTTGTATTTATTCCTGTCACCCCAAGACTAGTTTTTGTTTCTCTGTTCATTCTGAAACTATATCAATCTAAAACACTGGTATGTTTCAGGGAACATCAGATATCTGTTTCCTTTCTGTGATTCACAAGGCAGAAAGCCATAAACTTACAGTGAGGTGAAAGAAAGAGCTCATATTTTAACCTTAAACACAACAACGACACTCGGACTGTGTAACCAGTTGCTCAACAATAAAGCAGATGTTTCTCCTGAATATTACTGCTCATCGTGGCAGAAACGCTCCATGGTTTTGGACCTTTGCACCTACGGGATTAACACAGAGGGGTGGTTTCGGCCACTGCACCACTGTTTGTATGTTGAGAATACAAATTACTTCGTGATTTCAAAAGGATCCGAATATCCTAAAGGATGATCCACAGCAATTTCCGCCAAACGCGATTCCGAGCACCTACAAAAAGCACCCACGCCTGTAACGTTCACGTTAACCCCATTGTCTCTCAGTGTGTTACCCCCCCCTTTATTGCTAAGCTAGCTGGGCTAACAGTGGGCTATTCCCACTCAGTCCGCCCCCGGGTGGGATCGATACTCACCCGCTTCAGCCCAGAGGTCCGGCCGCTCCTTGTCTCCAAACCTGGTCACCTTATTCGGTTAACGTAGCATTTATATCCGCTGGAAACAGAGCCGGTTCGGGCGCTTGGGTCCCTCTCTCGGGCTGTTGTCGTCCACAACAGCGCCGTGCCCGGTTGTCGGTGTCCACTGACGTTAGCTGACAGCGCTGCTGCTGCCGCTGGAGGAGCCAGGTTTCAACAACATGGCTGCAGCAGCTGGCTGCAGCAGAGGGGCCCACTGTCCACACATAATGTTATCTGACTTTTTATAACAGCGGCCCCTCAGTGAAAATATAAATGTCAATTCTATAGACACAAATGAAGCTTAATTAAATGTAAAATAAAACATTAGTACTCCCAGCTATTAAGGTGTTTCTTCAACTTTAATTTGAATTTCAGTATGTGTTTCATTGTGGAGGGAAGGGGAAGTGGGGTAAACAAAGTGTGCTAACATTAAACAATAATGATAAACATTTTTTATTTTATTTATTTTTTTAATCAAAAGGCAATAAAAAAAATAATGGGAAACACAATTTCTCTTTTTAAAATTTAACGTGCAAGTGGTTTCTTTACATGCCTTTTCTCTTTGCTGTGGTGAAAATCAGAAAATTACATGGAAACTTAGATTTACACCAGAAAAAAAGTCGTTCATATGTTTTGTAACTCTTATTGTACTGATGTGCTTTCCAAAACTTTGTTCATCTTGTGTAAATGAGCATTACCACAATACAGAACTGAAAGAAAACAATTTTACCCCCCCCAAAAAGTGGCAAAAATTATAGGAAAAAAATAAAAACAAATGACATCAAAAAATAGAAAAAGGCAAAAACATTTCAGAAAAGAGGACAGAAAAATAAAGGACACAGCTAAACCTTTTGAGTAGATACAAATCTATATATGACATGGTTGTGTAATACCTATTTTACAAAACTAATTTTATTTTTCAGCTTACTTTTATGGACCCTTCTGAATAATAATTTGAAAACAAATAAAGTTATTATTGCAGTTCTATGATCTGAAATTGAATAATTTAGCAAAGGTAGCTTTTAATATGATTATAACTTTTATTAAAATGTTCTACATGCATGCTGTATTAATATATTGTTATTGGTTCAAAACCTTACATTCTAACTGTAAAAGTTGCTGTTAACACCTGAAAGATATTGTCCAGGTATGAAGGGAATACACAATGGACATCTGAAAAATCCAGCAGGAAGGTGAGGAAACTAACAGCCTTTGAACTACTGGGAGGGTTAATGAGTGGGATGAGAACCAGACAGGTGTGACTAATCAGAAAAATTTTGAGCAGCTGGAGAGGAACCTAGACAGATAACTATGGGGAGGTGACTAAGAATGGAATAGAGGAAACTAAACTAAAAGATCTTCCTAAACCTAAAACTAAAGCGTAATGCTAATATTAGAAGCCACACCAAAGACACAATAAGTACAACACAAGAAAGAACTAATAAACCCAACAGACATTAGTATAAGGTTTCTGGATCCAGCAAAGGAGTGTGAGAGTGTGAGAGTATGGTCAATTGCCTCATTGACCATGTCAAAGTCAATGAGGCAATTGATGGAAGTGTCCTCTAGAATGGGTGCTTGGAAGCTGGAGAAATCTATAAATGAGCTCTGTAGACTAATAATGTTTTAAATCTGGAGACTGGCATCTGACGTTCCATGGAGAACTGCCATTAAGAGTTGCTGGACATACAAAGGAGTATCATCTAGAGGGCCAACATAGATCCAAGGCAGCTTGGGAGCGTGGCTGGGGTTGGCTGGTGGTACCCACTAAGAATTAGCCTTAGACATTTCTGGGCAGCCACTCAGAAACTGAGAGGAGGCTGAACCTCATGGGTCCCGTCATCAGACAACTAAAGACTGAGTACCTCAGACAAAGGCAAGCTCACTTGCGATGTTGAACTTGGGAGCAGAAGCTTGACACAGTGATCCAACTGGGAACGCTCCTCAAAATATGGTGGGACATAGACATGAATGGAATCCTTTGGAGACAGAAGATATGTCCCTATTATCATTGTAGAAGAGGAAGAGACCATCTTAATGCTGTCATCTTAATACTGCAGGAGAGAAGAACCGATGATGATAAAGGAAAGAGTGCAGAAGAGATGGATAGTGATGAGGATGAAAAAGAAAACAGTCCAGGAAAGGAGGATGATAATAAGGGAGACAAAGATGGCACAAGAAGTGGATGGTGATGAGGAGGATGAAGATCACACAATAAAGGATGATGATGGTGAGTATGCTCCATACAGCCCAGGAGTCGATGGGGATTAATAGGGGGCTAAGAATCTTTTCTAAGAGGTGGAACAGTGAAGGTCTCTGGAGTTGACATTGAAGAAGCAGAGGGGATTTTACAGTGCTGTCTATGGTGTCTACAATGTCGAGCAGGTAAGGTGGGAGTTGCTGCTAGTAATGACTAAGCTGTGTTGTTGCTTATGCTAAGGATAAACTCCACTGGAATGTGCATTTGGCTGCTGTACCTTGGGATGCAGCAGAGAGCGTATAAGCAGCAGGGCCACAAGCTTGAGCCATCTAGGGCTGGTGCAAGCCACATCTGGTTGATGATGTAGGCCTTGATTGATTTACTATTTATCTATTATTTTGCTGTTTGCATACTATTCTCTTCTTAGCTTTTGTTGTTTTGTAGATTTTCTTTTGCGGAATAATATTGTGATTTTTTAAAATAAAATTTTGTGTGACTTCTGAATTTCTGAGACTTTTTTATTTGCTTTGTTTTGTGGTTTGCCACTGAAAGAGAATCGATGGCATTTACCCCAGAATTTACAATGACTTCAATGCACTGAAGACATGAAACGACTCTTGACATGCAAGTAGGATCCCTACACTGAGCAAGAACGGAGCTCTTATGTTTATATGAAGTCTTAAGACATTTCTCCATGAATAATTCATCACAGCAGTCTAATGAACAACAGACAAAAGAGGCTTTGAAATCTCGATGCACCCCCAGACCCACGCTCATACATAAGTGCACGCATAGGCCAAATAATTGTGACTTTGATGCTGTCTGTCATTGCATTGCCTTGGATTTGTTTCTCAGTCACTTCACTCTCAAAGCCCAATACAATCCATCTACTCATGGGCCTACACAAACAGTCCCACCTACACTTGCATGCAGCTAATTTCCATACAAACACAAGTCCAAGCAGACAAACACTGATGTCACAGATAGTCACAGACATGTACAAACTGACTTGAGGGAGCTCAGGGCTTTGCAGTGGATTTTCAAAAACTCAAGCTGCAAAGATTACATAGAGGTGGACCACAATTAGACCCTATATTTACACATTTGTATAACTCTCCATTGATTAAATAAACACATTTTTCATTTGTGACCACTGCAGTTGGAGACTACAACAGATTTATTGTCAGTGTATGCATAAATACTTTTGTTTTGGATTAGACATAGTTTAGGATTTTCAAGCAAAATTCCCCAAATGAATGAATAATATGAGGGTCCAAAGAGTTAGTATTTTCTTGTACATGTTGCCCTTTATTGCACAGCAATAAGAAAACGATCATGACTGCCACAAAAGTTGACTTTTTGCCTGATTTATCACAGAACACCATGCGGCACTTGACATCTAAATTTGTAATATAACGCCATCTAGTGGTCTATCTGCCTACCCATCTTGTTGGGAGTTGAAATTGGACTCCATTCAATTCTTATTTCTTTTACATTTTTAAGAAAAAAATGTCTATAAATATATTCTCACAGTCTAGTTTTATCAAGTGAACTTATTTCTACCTAGTTTAAGAATATGTAGAAGTGGCAGTGAAAACATGCTCACAACAGAGTTTAAAGCAAAAATATTTTCAGGAAATGTAATCATAGCTTTTAATTGACTGTATATTAACTTAAGTTTAATTTTAAGCATGTTAAATTTGACATAAAAAGTGTTCTCAATAAATTGGTCTGGCAATTGCAGTTAAATAAAGTGTTTAGAAATTACCACAATATGTGAACACTGTTGACTACAGCCGTTTACATTCATACAGTTAATAATATTGAGTTTACAATTCAGTTCTGCGAGTCTGACCTTTTTTCTCCTTTATTTTTCACATTTTATCTAAGTTTTCACAACAATTGCAACTACAACTCCTAAAGACAAAAACTCCAACAACACTGTACACAAATCCAAGACATTTTGAAAAAAATGACCAGACAACTTTTATTATTTTCTCCTCTACTTTAATTAAAGAGAAAAATAAAAAAAACACAATGAAGCTTACAACTGCTACAAGCTGGTAGATAATGCAAAAGAGGACATCATTGGACAGGCAAAAATAGATCAAGAATAAAATAATCTTTTATGTGGCAGACAAAATAAATATGATGATTGGATTACTTTAAGGAAATTACTAATAAAGATGTAAGTGCAGGTATAGTAAGTTTTGAACTGCGTTAAGTGCAAGGATTCAAGTAGCACTGACTTCCTAGCATGCCAGTTCAGCTGTGCTTGAGATGTTCTGGCTTAGAGTAGAAATACTCTCCATGGAGACATCAGTGTGTGCACGCCTGCGCCTCTCCTCGGAGCCATGTGAATGTGCCCGTACACGCTCATTGGTGTGTGCGCGGCCTCGAGAGCCATCGACTGATATATTGCTGCAGCTGGAGGTTGTCCTTGAGCGAAGTCTGGTCATGCTGGCGCTGGACACTGAAAAAAAAATTATAAATAAGCTTTTATTACTGTGCACTAACAAAATCTATTATCTTTTTTTTCTTATAATAATAGTTTTGGTTTTATATGTGAAATTTGTAATGGTTGAACATTAGAAAATGAATTCTCTGAATACACAAATTAATCAATAATTTTTTTAAATAAACAAGTAATCACTGAAGGAGAAGTTAAAATAACCTTGAATAAAAAGAACAAAAATAGAACTTTATTAGGTCTTGTTGAAATCAGTGGTCAGAAGAAAATGGGCAAACTGATATAACAATAACAGAAGTACAAAAAGCCACTCTTAACAACCAAGATATGAATCTATCACAAAAAATTAAGTCTGATCCAATATTAGCAAGGTCTCTCAAATAAAGTGGCTAATGAGTGCATAGTGTACAAATATTTAGTAACTTACAGTATCCCATTCCTTGGATAAAATATTTAAGAGCTTCAATCACTTTGGCTGGCTGTTGAGAGAAAAATAAAATATAGTCAACTTTTTCTTGACCAAAATGGAGTAGCGTATATGACTTACTGTCATACCTGAACAACTTGAGGAAGTCCTCCGCAGTCTGCCATCTGGAAGAAAGACAGAGTAGCACAATTATAGCTTGCTAGCACAAACTTGTCTCATAAAAGGAATTATGACCAGTAGTTAAAGGATAACTATTATATTAATAAATAAAATGTGAACAGTGATTCAAACAGTTCAGTGCACAGGGCTGCACAGCCTTTGGTGTGGCATAAATGCTCACAACAATGCTTTCAAACTAGTATGTTGGAGTAGAGGGCAGAAGACAAGTCTAAGCCCCAACATGACAGCAGTTTGTCTGGTAAAATACAATAAATATGCATCAAAAACAGCTCTACCATTTTCATTATCCAATCCAGGATTTGTTTACCTTGAGCAGTGTGGTCTTTGTGGGGTTCAGTTTAGAGTTGCAGTCAACCACAGCATCCACAGCAGGAGAACTATCCCCAACAACCAACAGGGATGAACACCTATGTGATCCGCAGAGCCAGAAGGAGTTAATTGTTATGAGGTGAACTTGCTGCCAATGTTTTATCTGCTTTTCAGATCTATTGTTTCACTCACATGAGTGTCTTGACATTGACGTTCCCTCCAGGGACAGGCCTCTCTACCTCCAGAGCGTTGCGATTGTTGTAGGAACGTAGAAACTGACTCACGTTGGATTGGTTCATTGTTGTTGTGATGTAGTGACGATATGTTGACACAAGGTCTTGATTTGTCAGGCTCTCATCCTATAGTAATCCGTGCAGATGCATTATGCATGTTACACTTTGGCTCTGATTTTTTTTTAATCATATGCATATGAAAAGCCAAGATTCTTTTGTTCCAGATAACTTACCTTTCCAAACAAGTGTGTGATAACTCTGTCTGGGAGAGTGAGGGTCCAATCAGTAATCTGTAGTATGACACAAACACTTGCATCAAATTTTGCTACATTTAATGTCCATAGGAATTGTACAAGGTTTTTCTGAGCTCAGATTACTCAAAATGTCTTTATTCAAGATAAATTCTATTAAAGAGAGAAAGCAGCAATAAAAATATGCTTAATTGGTCAATTAGGACAGAAATTAATGTATTTAGTATTGTAATAAAAGATGGCAAGCTTTAAACACTCTTTCAAACTCCCCTAAATATGATACAAAGTTTTTACAGTCACAATAAATTTAAGTCCTCACAGCACCTTCAGAAAATTTAAGTACCTTCAGAAAATTGCATTGCTTGTCATTGCTACTTTCAACCTATGGAACTAACTAGTAAATGAGCTGCAAGTTATAGTACTTTTCAACAAACATTTGAAGTTATAAAGCTTCCATTAGCATGCATATAATATAAATATTTGTCAAAATTTTCTTCAAGACTTCAGTTCTTGTTGGTGGACCTTATGTCAGCAGGAGGCCCTCAGGAGCTACGTAGAGATTGTCCAGCATATTGATGTTTTATGATATTAATCACAAAGTAAACTAATGTCAGTAAGTAAACTAATACTGTATTGCTTTTACATTTTTAACCATTTAAGGATCCAGTCGTAATGTTGGGCTCTGGATGTGGAGGTTTAAAGAAAGAAAGGAGAATCAAAACTGTGAGTTAGGTGAAACATACTCTGTGTTACATAATAACCTTTTTGAATATGAAAGGACATAAAACTGCCTATAATTAACTTTCAAAATGCAATCACAAGCTTGGCTTTATGTAGCTACTGAGTAAATACCTCATCTTTACATATAACAGCATCTGAATACATGAAGGACATTCAAAGATACGTCTATACCTTGTTTGCAACAGTATCCATTAGGCTCTCCGCATTGGGGTTAATGTTGATCAGAACCAATCCATCCACTAAATCAGGGTGATTCAGCTAAACAAAGAAAAAAAAAACATTTGCCAGCTGTTCAGTTGGACAGTCAGGTTATCCATTGGCATGACATTTCTCTTTTACAAAAAACTGGGATGGTGTTCATGGCACAGACTGCAAAATTACTTTTACACTAAATCCTCATGTACAATATGATTTTGACTTATACGGCTTAATCTAGAACTTTCATTTATAAATTCTGATGTATGTTCAATTGTCTGTCCATTCCCATTTAAACAGAAAAAAAAAACAAAACAAGAATAAGTTGTTCATTTCAAAATATTGTGTTCAGGAGCATCATCTCAAGATTTGATAGAATCTGAAAAGATTCACTTACTGCAAATCTGGCCAGGATGTAAGCCCCAGCTCCAACTCCCACACCAATTATACTGTTCATCCTGCAAAGCACACAAAAATGAGCTTAATGGCTCAATGTTGAGAAAGATACAACTGAAAGTGTTTAGTTTTCATGTCCATAGATGAATTTGTCTTACTCAAAGTGATTGAGGACAGAGGGAAGAGCCTCAGAGAGCTGGTCCATGGTGGGGTAAGTGTACCTGAAGGATCAAATCTCTGATTTAAAAGCAGTCATACACTATGGTTGAATATCTGTTCAATGACAAAGTTCAATCTGAGTCTTAAAAAAAAAAGTCTACTCACGCAGTGGGGAGATTCTTAGCTTCCTCATGTTGTCCAGGAGCTTCAACGTGACAAACGGGTAAATTACGAACAATTTCATGCATGTCTTCATGGTTGAACAAAGTCTCAAAACAAGATTTATCTGGAAAGGAAAAAAAACACATATACATACATTTTTATGTTAGTTACTCACATCTTTCAACTACAGCATATGAACCATTTGGAATGTTGAGGAAGTATAACTATATAGAAGAAAAATAACAAAAGAAATTAACTTCTTCAGGTGGAAATGAACCTTAAGAAATGTGTCTGTCCGTGTAATTCTATTAGAAACTGATTCTTCAGCAGCTACAACAATTAGGTGAACTTATTTAATTTTATCACGGATCCTTAAAGGTAAACTACAGAATCACCGCTGATAGATCTCTGGGCTGCAGCTTACGGTTCAGTCCAACATCATGAAAGGTCAGGATGACGGGTCGGTTTGCTTTTTTGGTTCCTGTCAAGATGCAGTGAAGGTCCCCGTACTGAGTCTCCACGTGCTCCTCCTAATACAACATTTACATAGATATAATCAGGTCACACTGCTTTAGAGAACGTTCCATCAAACATGTTGTTTACTTTGGTCAATGGATAAATGCAGATTGCAGTAAAATTACATTAAAGAGAATACCTTGCTTTGTTAAGTCTGTGCTTTATTTTTATTTTTACTTTTACCAAAGTTGCCAACATTAATGTGCACAATCCTAGTTCTTATATTCCATGATTTGTTTGTAAATAAGTTAACCATACCACAAAAAAAAAAAAAAAAAAAAAAAAAAAAAAGACCAATGGAAATTAAAAGAAAATCAAATATTGTGGATCTATGTCACTAACTTGTTTTTATTGTCATACTCACAGTGATTTGAGGCTCAAAGACAGAGTCGTTGTTCTCCTCCAGAACCATGGTGGCTGTTTCAGAGCAGGTAGATGGGATATAAATCCTTTTGAAATGTGATTCTCTTCAGCTAGATACCCAGTGCAGTGAGCAGGTCAGTATGTCTCTGACAGACTTTATGGTTGAGCTGGTTTTTATATCCTCAGACACTGATCTACTTTTAAGTCTTAACAGGCGGGGCCAAATGGCCTTTTTCCTTGTTAATCTGACCTCAGGCTGCTGTGTTTCCACACAGACAGTGAAGTTTTTTATATTTGGAATTAAATTAACGAATTAGGACACTCTTGCTGCAAAACAAGTGTCAGCATGGTTTACCTGAAAATAAAATAACATCTAAAAGAACGACCACTTTTCAAATATTGCAATCTTTCTGACTTTCTGCATTTTTGACACATGTTCAGCTGTTGAGCAGCTAACTCAAACCGAAAACAGGAGCCAGATTCACAGATTTGATGCTTGTCAGTTTGCATGAAGGCATCATACACATCTCTATATGTTTATCTGGGCCATGAGGAGGTCAGCTGTTTAAGCTCTGCAGGCCATCTGTTATTCACAGTATAGCAGGCTATTAATGATATAGCTCAGCCTCTTTTTATAGCTGCAGTTTCAAATTAATTTCAATAAACTACACTTGAATGATAATGCCAGTTTCATTAGCTGCTGTGTAAAGGTGATGTCTGCTGTTTACTAAAGATATGCACTTCACTTTCAAGGCCATTATTATTACTTACTCTATTATTGCTATAAAAAGCTTAGTTGTGTAAAGGAGAGAGGCTCATGTTGATAGCCTAAATGTTACCTCAAAGAACCTTACAGCCATCCTTTAAATCTTAAGTCAAATTGTAACAACAAATCGTAAGTCATGCTAACAAAAAGTAGTGGAACCTCACAATACGCTTCCATACAAAGCAGAAAGCTGTGGCTGACAAGACCGGTAAAAACAAATTAATTTGCATTTATTTAAAATGGCTCTTAAAATTGACCTAGCAAGTAAAGAACTGTGCACTTTTGTTAATTATTTGACAAAACAGTTGATCCCTCACTATAAAAATACTGCTCCATCTGTTTTTGATTAATCTTTGTAGCTTTGACACCATAAATATGATCTTTTTGACTTGAGAGCTCCATTACAACAACTTGAATCAAATCCATACAAGACTTTAGAATGACCAACATCTAAACAGGAAATAGATTATTTTTTGTCATATTCAAGACATTTAAAAAGTGAGTTGTGCGTATTATGCGAAAATCCTTTTCTTTAATGATTATTTTATTGATTGTTTTTTTAAAAAACAGGGATGTTAAATATTTTTTATTTTGTCCTAAGTCACCAAATCCTATTTCAAATCTGTTTCGGTCTGTGCTATTTGACAGATCTACTGCTCCTCCGTCCCTTTGCTGAGCTTGCACAAATCTTTTTTTTTTTTATTAAATCAACTCAGTGGAAATTGAGAGCAGAAGTTGAACAGCAGACAGTAACACCTGGCTGAGTGGAAACACAGCAGACTGCTCTGTGACCACCTACATATGGACTCCAACACAGCCTGGATCATATAACCCACCGTGCTGCATGGCAGCAGAGTGTGTAGCAGGTCTAATCCATTTAACGATGGCTAAAGAGCAGCAGGTAGCAGATGGGTCTTACTCAGCGTCACGTCATTCTCAAAGCCAGAGCATCATTGGAACCCTAACTGGAGTCTGGCCTGAAAACCTATTTCACCACCAACCCCTGTCACATTTCCCATTGTCCTTATGCTCAAGCACGAGCTTGGGTTTGGGTTTGCTAAATGTTTCTTAATGTTAGTGTCAACAAATTATTGTCAGTTGTCAGAATTATGCTACAATATGACAACATTTTGCTTGAATCAGCTTTCATTATTTCTGTCCACTACCTGCCAAAAAAACAATAAAAAACGTAAGCAAATTGAACCAAATACATAAATAATTAACTATTTTGATTTCAGACCAGATCAAATATCACAAAAACACAAATTAATGAATCCATTCATTCATTATCTGTGTCAGCTCAATATTATGAACCAGCTTCTATTGATATGCTATTTGTGATCGATCACTTGTCAAAGGTACAGACTGATGTTTGATATTTCAGATGCCAAGATTTGTAGCCTCAAAATCAAATTAATAAATCATGTGAAAATAAAGTTGCCAAGAATGTTTATCCATAAAGCTTAACATTGTCCCCCAATATTAATCATTAGCCACCAATGGTTGAACAACTCAAGAAAGAAATCACTTTTCAAAAGCTCACTTTTAAATATTACTTAAATAAAATACCTGGAGCATTCCTTTCCTTAAGAAAGATTATATGACAGAATCCAGAGGTGTGCAGATCATTACCAACTTCAACTGTGATCTCTACAGAAACAGAAATGCTCGGCCTTAAGCGAAATCATCAGTCAGATCCACTTTTCTGTTGAAAAATCATTTAGTTTCAACCATATTTATTATCTTTCTAGTCTCTTGAATCATTTCTTTTAAAAAGTTGTAAAATTACAAAATAAAAACAAAATTTTCCCCCACTTTTCAATTTTCTCTAATGTATTTTGAAAAAAAATCTACTTAAAATAGCAGTAAAGCTGCTATTTGCAGCTGCTATTTTAAGCAGTGGTTGCATAAAACAACATGGTGATCAACACCCCCTAAGAACTTTCTGACAGCTCTTGGCTGTTGTCCTGTTATGCTTCCCATGCATGAAAAAAATCATATCTCTCAGACCATTGAACAATACAGAATATCAGCAAGCAAAGAGCTTATTTATTGTATTCTTATACCATCACAAGCCTAAATAGTGTTAAAACTCACATTTTCTGTGTGTAAGTAATGTCACATATTTTCTAAAATAATAACAATGGTTGGGTTTAATTCTCTTTCATGCTCAGAGTTTAGTGTAAGACAGTTCAGGACGCCCCCTTGTGGATTTAAATAATTATTTCACTCCTTTCAGAGCCTGATATCTGTTGCTGGTGTGTTTTTCAGTGAAGAAAACATTTTAAACCCATTACTTTCGAGCAACAAACTGTCATCTAACAGAAGCGTGCTTTCTGATTGCTGGTTCGATACCAACCCAAGTTTCAGACGAAATGGGAAGATTTCTGAATTAAAAGCAGGTAATTCTGTAAATGTATAGCAAAAAACAAAAGCCAAATAACAAACTCATATGGTATTTTAACACTTAACATGCACGTTTGACTTTACGGTGACCCAGAAGAAGAGCTATTGAATATAGTAATTTCTGACAGTGAGCTCTCATTCATTTTGCAACATTTTTCTGTTGGATAATAAATTAAGGAACGAAAATGGGAAGAAAAATCTGTAGAGCCGCTTTGGAGCCGACACTTTTTGATGATCTGAGCCAAAAGACCCAGCTCTCTAAAAAGAGCCAGAATTTCCACGAGCTCTTCCCACTTCCCCGAGCTTCGACAGGTGGACAGTCCCACAGTAACTTGATTCAGAAAACCTCACCTGGACACAGATGGAGTTTTCAATTCCCAGACAAAACATTGACAAAAACAAAAAGAAATACATGAAGACTGATTTGTACTGACCTACACTGTTAGACTCCTGTTATGCCAAACCAGAAAAGGAATTAGACCAGAGGATACTTACTTATACTTATCTGCCAACCCTGAATAGGAGAATCTGGCCTATTTACTTTGGATTAACATGATTAACTTTTTCTTATTTTGCTCTTTCCTTTGGTTTGTTATTTTGTTTGTATTTAAATCATTTAAAGCCTTGCTGCTGAAAATGTGCTGTGTAAATAAAATTACCTTTACCTTTTGCTTTTATGGAGAATTAGTTTTTTCTGACATAAAATCTGATGTGCATCTTTATATTTGTTTATAGTCACAGAAATCCAAGGTAGGTGTCTGTGTATATAACAGGAAGGTTTAACTTTTGATATTACTGTCTTTAGACAAAGGTACAACCAAGAAATGAATTTTGTGCATAGGTTTGATAACCTATGCACAAAACAACAGTTTCTCAGTTTTTTCCCCACACGTAGCACTGTTTGTGTGCCTTGATTAGACAAATTTTAATTAAACTGAACTGAACCCCATTCTGTGTCCTCCTTGGAAATCAATTACAGATGTGCAAAGCTGTTTCTCATCAGATTTTCCTACCACAGCACGGATAGATAGATAAGTCTATTTGTTGGTGCTGGTGTGCAAGTAGGATGTATTGATAAAAAAATCTGCAGAGTAAGCAGCATGTGCCAACCCATCCGAATGAAGTCAGTATCTCTCTTGGGTCGAATACGCACATAACTCATATTTCTGCAGCAACTTGTTTCTCCCCTTTTGAAGTTTTCCTAGGTTAACAACCACCACTGTTCTCCTCAGATGAAAAACTTCAGTTCAACACCACATCCACCACTGGAAGAATGTCAGGAACAGAACCAACACCGCCCTTAATCACACCGCAGAACAGAACCAATGCTTTGCTGACCGTGAGAGCACCTGCTCCTCAGGATACAAAATACTTGAACCCAACATGTCACTTTTTGTCCTTCATTCACAGATTTTTACTGAAAATGTAAAGGTGACAACTTCTTGTGGTGGCAACCCCTCAGTCTGCAGGTGAAAGTCTAACTCTGCAGCTCTCGGCTTTCAAAACGTTCTAATTATACACACAGCAGCTGCTGCTGCCTGCCACATGCTTGACTCTGCGTGTATTTCTTCAGTGTATGTGTGCGTGATGCCCTTTATGTGTACAAGGCTGCAAATGTCTGATGAATAATCTGTGGAAAATATTCAATTTAGATGAGCTCAAGACTCCCACAACATTTTAAACAACCAGATCATATTTTCATATTTCGAAAAGTATTCACACTGCCACTTCAGTGAATCTTCTTGTTGTGATAGTGATAGTTGTTGATAGTTAACAATTGTATATTTCAAACTTTAAAAGTAAGAACCAAGGTTTTGTAATGCTCACTGAAGTCGGTAGGGAACCAATGTAAGTGGGTGTGAAATATTGTGATGTGTGAAAACTGCTAGTGAAAACCCAGCAGGAAGTGGATGTTTTGCAGGCAGATAAA